CGTCCTTCTCTGCTGGTCTCGGGATGCCGTTTCCAGCTCCCTTTATGAACTTACACGGCTGTGGAGGCGTTTATTTATTTTAAAAACATTTGTTAAGAGTTTTCTTTGGGAAAAAGTTTTTACCGAGCTGTCATTGACATAACATGTTAACTTCAGATGTGCAGCGTAATTGCTATCTGTCAATATTGTGAAAGGAACACAGTGTCCGGTTGACATCCATCATCTCGCAGTGACAGCTCTGTTTTTACGCTGAGAACTTTCAAGCTCTGCTCTCAGCAAGTTCCACGTGTACAGTCAGCGCCGTGAATTAGTCCCCAGGCCGCACACCGTTCCCTTTCTGTAATCAGTGGGAGTTTGTACTTTTTAAAAGGTTGTTTTTTTAATTGATCTCAGAGAGGACGGGGGAGGGAGGCAGAGATGGAGACATCGATGCTGAGTTGACTTGTGTGTATGGCCGAAGGTGGTGGTCGGGTGTCACTTTTCCCACGTGGCTTTCCAGTTTCCCCAGCACCATTGTGTGTTCTTAACTCCCTGCTCATAGACTAGTTGACCCTGTGTGCACGGGTTTATTTCTGGGTCCTCTGTCCTTCCGTTATGTGTCTGCTTTTATGCCAAAGCTACACTGTTTTGATCACTTTCGCTTTGTAATACAGTTTGAAATAAGGAATTGTGATGCCTCCAGCTTTGGCTCTTTGGGGTCTCTTCTGGTTCCGTATAAATTTTAAGATTGTTAGTTCTATTTAGTTAGCAATGCTGTTGGACCTGGCTGGATGGCTCAGTTGGTTCGAGCGTTGTCGTCCTGATACATTAGGTTTCAGGTTCAGTCCCCCGTCAGGGTGCGTACAGAAGGCAACTGGTCCGATATTTCTCTCTCACGTTGATGTTTCTCTCTCTCCCCTCCCCCTTCCTCTCTCTCTAGAATCGATGAAAAATATTTCATCAGGTGAGGATTTAAAAAAAGGGATCAACCAATGAATGTAAAATAAGCGAAACAACAAATCGATGTTTTTCTTTCTCTCTCTGCCCTTCCCCCTTTCCTCTCTCTCAAAATCAGTTTTTACAGTGCTGTTTGAATTTTGATAGGGATAGTGTTGAATCTTAGATGGCTTTGGGTAGTGTGAACATTTTAACAATAATGAATTCTTCAAGTTCACAGGATATTTTTCTGTTTATTTGTATCTTCAATTTCTTTCATCCGTGTCTTATAGTTTTCGGTGTACAGGTCTTTCACCATCTTGGTTAAATTTATTCCTGGGTATTTACTCTTTTTGATGCAATTGAAAATTGGATCGTTTCCTTAATTTCTCGTTCTGACAGTTTGTTCCGACCATTTTTTGCACATTGGCTTTGTATCCTTTACTGTGACCTGACTGGCCACGGGGCTCCCCTCCTGGAGCTGTGTCTGGCCTGGCCTGACTCACCGTCTCCTGTGCTTGCCCAGGAACAGGCCGGGCTCTTGCCATGGGGCACTGCCGCCTCTGCCACGGGAAGTTCTCTGCACGGAGCCTCCGCAGCATCTCCGCCCGGGCACCTGGGCAGATCGCAGAGAGACCACCCCCAGGGGAGCGCGTGTTCGTCAGGGACTTCCAGCACCTGCTGGGGGTGGCCGTCCACCAGGACCCGGCTTTGTCTCAGTTTGTCTGCAAGAACTGCCACGCCCAGTTCTACCAATGCCACGGCCTCCTCAAGTCCTTCCTGCAGAGAGTCAACGTGTCCCCGATGGGCCCCCGGAAGCCCTGCACACAGTAGGCGCTCCCTCCTTTGTTCATTTGGGGGTGCTCAGGTTCAGTCCCCGGAGTACTGTGCGGTTCTCAGCACAGGAAGTGCCCGGTGGGAACCTGTGCAGTGGGGGGGCCATGGTGCGGTGGCAGTGGACACGTGGAAGCCTCAGAGCGACTGGTGTGGGAGGTGAGGGCCGGGAAGGCTCTGAGTGTCAGGAGACGGCATGGCGGGGCAGGGGCAGCCCCAGGTGGGAGCCAGCCGGTAAAGGGAGCGAGCCTGCCCCCTGCTTGCTGCGGGGCTCCACTCACGTCCATGCTGCTCCTTTGCAGGGTGGGTGCACAGCCCCCAACAGAGGCCGAGGAGGGAGCGTGTCTGGGTGAGTGTCCCCGTCCCTGGAGCGGGGGGGCAGGTATAGGTGGGCTCCCGTGGGCTGGGTGCTGACCAGCCACGGGGCTGCTGTCTGTGCCTTTCCTCAGTGGACCTGATCACGTCAAGCCCGGAAGGTCTGCGTGGCCTGGTGGGGTGGGTGCATGGACACGCGGCCAGCTGTGGGGCCCTGCCCAGCCTCCAGAGGACGCTGTCCTCCGAGTACTGCGGTGTCATCCAGGCCGTGTGGGGCTGCGACCAAGGCCACGACTACACCATGGACGCCGACCCCAGCTGCGGGGCTCTCCTGCTGGACAGTGCGTTGGCCGTCAAGTGGACATGGGACAAGGAGACAGCCCCCCGGCTCGCCCAGCGTCGGAGGTCCAACCCCACTGGGGCTACCCCCCCGCGCTCCCAGGGCGGAGCGACCACAGCTGAGACGGAGACGCTGTCCAACACGGACGTGGTCCAGCCCCCTTCAGATGGCAGCCCTGTGGGGCCTGGGCCGAGCCCCCTGCCTCAGTCAAGCCTGCCCCCAAGTGGGGCTCCAGGTAGGAGCTTCTCTGGGCTGTTAGACCAGGATTCCTACCCCTGAGCCAGCAGGGCCCTCGCAGGAAGTGGATGTCTGCACGTGTGGGCAGTGGTGGCGGAGTCCTGTGGGCATCTGGCAGCAGGGAGGGCTGAGACCCGGTGCTGGCCGTGCCTGTGAGGCGCACGCCTCTGCTATCCCGCCTCACCACCTGCTCCGGCCAGGGGACGAGGGAGGGAGAATGGGGCCTTGTTGCAGGGGGTCAGGGAAGAGGACAGCTGTGCCTCTGAGGCTGTTTTGGGTCATTTCCTGGGCCTCAGCCAGCACCCTAGCGACAGTGGGACGTGTGGACAGGCTCCTTTGCTGTGTGGTGAGGGAAACAGGCCCTTGGGTGGTGCAGTGGTTCAGGGACATCACGTTGGGCCAGGCCGGCTCCTGCCTGCCAGCTGCCATGTGTGCCCGTCTGCAGTGGGCGCTCGGCCACTCGAGTGCGAGTCCTTTCAGAAAGTGCCACTCCCAGGATGGCTCGGAGAGGGTGATGCTCAGGCTGGAGGAAGCGGGGACTGTGCGGAGGCCCTTAGGGCTGCACGGCTCTTTAAACTGTGCATGCGATACATTCATGACGTGTGAGTCGTCCCCCCGAAACAGCTGGATCGGAACCTCTGGGGAGAGGTCGGCAGCTGTGACTGTCGCTGGGTATCGGGTGCTCAGCGCTGCCTGTGCTGGACACGGGTGGCCTGTGAGCTTGGCAGTGGTGGGACCTGTGGGGGATGGAGCTGGGAGGTGGGTGGGATGTGAGGCTGGAGGACCCCAGGCTCACAAGGAAGGCTCTGTCTTCAGGCGGCCATGCCTCCTTGCTGGGAGCCCTGCCTACGCACCAGTTGGTAACAGGAGCCTTGTTCTTTGTTTCTCAGGGCAGTTGGGTGAGAAGCAGCTTCCATCTTCAACCTCGGATGATCGGGTAAAAGACGAGTTCAGTGACCTTTCTGAGGGGTGAGAGAAGAGTGGGTTTAAACAGCCTAAAATTTCTCCTTGGAAAACCAAACTCTACCATCCTAGGGGCTCGCGGTCCATGTCCTGGCCAGGGGTGCTTCCAGGCTTCTCGGTCCTGATTAGGGGCTTCCTGGGTCCCAGAGGGTACCCCGCTGATGCAGCTACCAGACAGCAGGACCTGTGTGTGCAGAGCTCCTGGGAGGGTCCCTTGGGCACCCTCTGCTGCTGCCCCTTGTCTCCTTCAGGCCTTAGTTCTGTGCTGGCCCCACGTTCCTCGAGCAGAGGGCGCAGCCTCTGGCCCTTGGTCATGGCATGAGTGTGACTGGGGCTGTCTGCTTCTGGGCCACCCCCTGCCGCTGAGCCAGGCACCTCTCAGACTCTTCCCGCCTGACCCCACTAGCTGTGGCTGGAGGCAGATGCATCCTTGTCCGTAGAGTAGAACAGTTTTAGTGCAGCTCCAGTGGGGCACCAGTGGCCAAGGTGCCGGAAGAACCCAAGTGTCTGTGCTAGAAACACCCCGGGACCAGGCGTGGCCGGGGGTCTTGCAGCCTCAAGCCGCTCTCTGTCTGACGGGTGGCGGCCGAAGGGGAAGGCCATGGCGAGCCAACAGAATGAACAGTGGTTCATACTTCAGGGCGAAGGTTACAGGCAGAGCTTTTTCTGGCCTTTGTGACCTTTGAAATGGCTGACAGCTGACCTGTCAGTTGGACAGGTGCTCACAGGGTGAGGGCTGTTCTGAGCGTCCACTTACTCAGAAGCCCACCACCTATGGGGTCTTCACACCCGCCTGGGGCCTCCTTGGAGAGGTTCCTTCTGAGTTTGGGGTCCTGATGTGAGGAGAGCATGTTAGGAGATGGGGTAGAGATTGGGGGGTTTTAGGTTTCTTTCAGCCTTTTCAGAACTAAAACATGGACCATGGGGATCTGTATGGTGTCTGCAGGCAGGAAGTCGCATCGGATCTGTCACCCACCCAGAGCTTTGCTAAAGGCTCTCTCTTCTGTCCTAGGGACTTCCTGAGTGAAGACGACAATGACAAGAAGCAGAACACCCAGTCCTCAGATGAGTCCTTTGAGCCTTACCCAGAAAAGAAGTAAGTGGGTCTTGGTGCAAGGCCTGGGGCTGGTGTCCATCGGGGAGCTGGATGCCGCGTCTGTGCTCCCCGCACATGCTGTTTTGGGTCGGCCTGCCAAGTCCAGTGCAATGCGGCTTCTGAGGGAGCTGAGGCCTCCCCAGGACAGCTCTGGGCCCTGGCCTCAGTGTCATTCGTGAGGCAGCTGACGTCCAGGTGAGGATGGCAGGAGCCCGTGGGCATGACCCAGCCTCGTTTTGGAGCTCCTTGCCTGCCTTGTGCCAGTCCTGCTCACGGCCACAGCACCCTGCCAGCCTCTGATTCCTGCTCTTGGTGCTGAGTCTCTGCACTTGTTCACAGCTCTGCCTCGGGCACCGATTTCTATGCCACTTCCTTGTTGGGGAGCTTCTGTGACCTTGTGTTGACCTTCTCTTTTCAAGGACTTGTTTCTGCAGGTAGAACGTTGGGTCCTGGCAGGAAGGGACGATTTTTACTTGTGTCACTTTCTTCCCAACCCTGTGCCCAGGAACCCCCAAACCCCTGCAGTGTCGCTGCCTGACACAGGCACTGTCCTTCAGCATTTCACAGCACAGTGAAACAAGCACACACCATCAGCCAAGGAAACGCAGATTGAGAAGCAATCACGAGTTCTTTTCCTTTAGGTTCTGACATGGGTTACGGAGACAGGACAACAGGCAGCTCTGGGGAACCCCAGCCGTCCCATCCACCTGTGAAACCCACAGGCTCCCGGAAGCCTCCTGCTCTCTGCAAATGTAGTCCAGGGTGGGAGGGAAATGGCAAATTACCTGTCAGTGCAGCCAACAGGTGCCATAACACTCAGAAGAGGGTACAGGCCAGCGATCGGGACACGCAGCCAGGTTCAAAGCACAGTTATTTGAGACAAGGAGAGGAGAAGCCTGCGCAGTCATCAAAAAGGTTCTTTTAATCTTCTCGTTAAAGGGAGGACAACTATTTATAACCCTTCTTTACAATTTGTGGTAACACACAGTTTGCCATTTTTAAGTTCAGTGGCATTAAGTACATTCACAATGTTGTGCAACAATCACCACTGTTTACAAACGTGTCACCACCCGAGCAGAACCTCTGTACACATTAAGCAATGACTTCCCTGTCCTCCTCCCCGGCCCTGACAACCTCTGTCTAGTCTAGGTCCCGATTCTAGGGACCTCAGTGGGATTATACTTGTCCTTTTGTGACTGGCTCCTTTTGAGATTTACCATATTATAGCCCGTGTTGGAGCTTAACCACACCTTGGGTTGTTTTCACCTTTTGGCTATTGTGAGTAATGCTCTGAACACTGAGGTACAGTCATCCTAATGGTGGAAGTGGTACCTCATTGTTAATTTGCTTTGCATTTATCTAATGATGAGTGATGTTGAGCATCTTTTCACATTTTTTTTTAAAGAGAAAAAAAACATCAATTTGTTCTACTTATCTATGCATTCATTGATTGATTTTTGTATGTGCCCTAACCGGGATAGAACCTGTAACTCTGGATTATCAGGACACTCTAACCAACTGAGCTACTCGGCCAGCGCCACGTGTATGCTTATATCTTCTTTGGAGAAATGCCCTCCACGTCCTTTGCCTATATTTTAATTGGGTTGTCTTTTTGCTATTGAGTTATAAGGTAGTTTTTCCTGTTCAGTGGGTCATCTATTTCACTCTCCTGGTCGGGGCATTTGGTGCAAAAGTTATGACTTCGAAGTCCAGTTTACCTATTTTTACTTTTGCTGCCTGTGCTTTTGTGTTATATTTAAGAAACCATTGCCAAGTCCAAGATCATGAAGACTTACTGCTGTTTTCTTCCAAGAGCTTTATAACTTTAGCTCATATTCCGGCCTTTGATCCGAGTTAACTTTTGTATGTAGCATACATTAGGGGTCCAATTTCTTTCTGCGTGTAGATATTGTTTCCCAGCACCTTTGTTGGAGACTATCCTTTCCCTGTAGAATAATCTGGGCACTCTTGTTGCAAATAGTTGATTGTACTTTTGAGGGTTTATTTCTATCCTCTTAATTCTATTCAATTGGTCTACGCATCTGTCTTTATGCAAGCCCCACAATTTTGATTATTGTAACTTCGTAGCAAATTTTGTATTCAGGAAGTTGAATCCTCCCGTCAGTTTTTCAAAATTGTTTGGCTATTTGGGTCCCTTGAAATTCAACGTGAAATTTTGGATTTTTTTCCCCCCTACTAAAAACACCATTGGGATTTAGATAGAGATTAAATCTGTAGTTTGTTTTGGGAGAAGCATTGCCATCTTAATAGTCTTCTAATCCATGAATACGGGATGCCTTTCCACTTATTTAGGCCTTTCATTTCCTTCATCAGTGTTTTGTAGTTTTCAGTGTATAAGTCATTCACCTCCTTGGTTAAATTTATTCCTTATTTATTGTTTTTGATGTGATTGCAAATGAATTTTCCTAATTTCCTTTTTGGGTTTGTTGTTGGCATGTAGCAATGGGACTGGTGTTTGTGTGCTGATTTTGCACCCCGCAGCTTTGCTGAATTTATTTTGTATGGGGGCTCTGTAGGGTTCTTATATATAAAGTCATGTCATCTGTGAATAGAGGTGATTTTCCTTCCTTTCTAATTTAGATGGCTTTTATTTTTTCATGCCTAATCTCTCTGGCTAGGATATCCAGCATTATTTTCTTGATCTCAGAGGGAACTTTTTAGTCTCTAACCATTGAAGATGATGTCAGCTATGGCTAGTCACATATAGCCCCAGGTGCTCCCTTCTATTTCTTTTTAACTTTATTTTAATTATAACATATTTATTGTTGAAAGTATTACAGATGTCCCCCCCTTTTTTTAAGATTTTTTATTTTTAGAGAGGAGGGGAGAGGGAGAAAGAGAAATATCAATTTGAGAGCGAAACATTGATGGGCTGCCTCATACACACCCTTAGGCATGTGCCCTGACCAGGAATCAAACCAGCAACCTTTTGGTACACAAGATGCCCAAATGAACCACACCAGCCAGGGTTCCCTTCCATTTCTGACCGAGTTCCTTAAATGTCTGGGTCCAAAAAGGAAAACGTGTGTTCTTTAAACTTTTAATAGACACTACTGGTCCCGCACCAAGTCCCCATGGCCCACTCTGGCCCGTGGTGAGCCAAAGAATGGGGGGTGGCAGCTGGTGGAGCACATAGAGCACTCTTCCCAGAGACAGCACTTGTCCCTCAAGGACTTCTGGTTGCTGTGAGTCTCCCATCAGGGTCCAAAGTTCCACAGTTGTTGGAGCTGATCTTTTTTCTAGCTTAATGGTTGTTTTGGTCCAGGGACTGACCCCTAAAGCTTCTGTATTCCACCATTTTCCATGGCATCTTGTGTTGTGTTTGGTTTTGACATTTAGAATAGGGTGTAAGACTTCAGTCCTAAAAACCCACCTCTGTAGTCATTGTCCCTGCACTTGGCCCTCCCATGGGGGCAGTACCGGGCATCTACCTACTGAGTTGTTCTGGCTTTGGTGGCTGAGGGTCCAGTTCAGGGCACCCAGTTAGCACATAACCCTGGAAGCAGGCTAGCCCTGGAAGCTGAATCATATCAGAAAACATGGAGGAAAGTGAGATCCATGTACAGAGGTCAGACATATCACTGCATCTGATTTACCTTTTTTTTTTCTCCCCAGAGTCTCTGGTAAAAAGAATGGGAGCAAAGAGGCCAAGAAACCTGAAGAACCAAAAATCCGAAAGAAGCCTGGACCGAAGCCGGGCTGGAAGAACAAGCTCCGCTGTGAAAGGTGAGGCCGGGTGTGGGCTGCACTGCCGGGTGTGTGGCCAGGGCGGCAGCTCCATGGGGCCCTGTGTTTCAGGGAGGAGCTGCCCACCATCTACAAGTGCCCATATCAAGGCTGCACAGCTGTGTACCGAGGGGCTGATGGCATGAAGGTAAGGAAGGTGCTACTGAAGCCAGGGCAGGAGTCTGCAGGAGCAGGGGGAGGTGTCAGGCCCAGACTCCCCCAAGGGTGCCCGTGAACCTGGGGAAATGGAGATGTGAAGCAACCCGCCATTGCCGTGCTCCGTGGGGGAGGATGAACCGGCCTTTGCTCTTGGGAAAGCACCTGTCTTCAGTGAGGAATGGTGGGATCTGTCCCTTCGAGGGTGGTGCACAGGGCTCAGAGGCGGCAGGTGCTGCGTGGTGGGTGAGCTGCTGTCCAGGCCCAGCCCAGCACTCAGGGCCTCACCGTTGCCCTGCAGAAGCACATAAAGGAGCACCATGAAGAAGTCCGCGAGAGGCCCTGTCCCCACCCTGGCTGCAACAAGGTGTTCATGATTGACCGCTACCTGCAGCGGCATGTGAAGCTCATCCACACAGGTGCCTGCCCTGACCCTCCTGGACAGCCCCAGGGTCCCCGGTCCCCGTCTTGGCCTCGTGGGTAGTGTGTTGTTCGTGGGCTGCAGTGTTGACAAGTCGGCTCAGTTGCTCAGTGTGGAACTGGCAGCAAAGAAATCCCTGTGCCTTTCTGTGCATGTATTGTGGTGGGTTTTTTAATTTAAAAAGCCATGTTTTTGGGATAAGAGGAAGCCACGTGCATTGTAGAAATGGTGAGGCAAAAAGCTCAGATGCAGCCACCACTGTCAGCTCCAGGGCCACTTCTCTATGTCACAACCTGGGCTGATACAGATTCATCACTTTCATGGTGTGACCCACACCACCCACGTCAGGAAACACAAGAACCACACACACACCTACTGTCCAGGATCGGATCGGTCGTATAGTTTGACCGTTTGGTTTTTGTTCAAGAGTCTAAGAAACTGACTTCCAGGATGGGGGCTCTCTTGGGGGGGGGGGGCCCCTTTGGGGGGG